CTCCTATGCAAAGAAAACGACTCCTTCGGCTATCTAGATGTCTACATCTTTTTACTTTTTCTAATTCTTTTAGGTTTTCAGTAGCACTGTTAGTTACCTTCTGCTTCCCTTCTCTTTTGTACAAAATTAGGACCTCTATTTTCTCTAGGTTTTATTATTTCCCTAACCATGTTCCTCTTATTCACCAAGTAGAAGAGAGAGAAGAAAAGACTCGTCCACAGCCTTGCCCCACTAACACGATCGCTTTGGTGTTCTGACACTCCTTCCCTGTCCGTTGGCACAAACCTTTTCTTCACATGTGGCTGTAACCACAGAGTGAGTAACCCCGATAGTTTTGCCTATGAATTTTTCGTTACCAGTTTTTCAGAAAGAATTCTATGTTGTTAGGAACTTTCACCACCATGATTTTATTGGCTGATTAGTACTGCATTATGTGGATGAGCTTTAACTTCAATACTCTCCTCTCTCTGGTTCTGTTCTTCTCAGGGACGCATGAACGTGTGTTTCTTTGAACGACCCCCTGCACGTCAGCATCATGCGCCCCTCCAATTTTTGGCCCAGGCCCCTTCTCTTTGTCTCCCAGAATCAACTACAGTGTCTGCTGTTGCCACTGCTTCCTGCAGCCTGAGGCCTCTTCTCTCTGTTCCCACGACATGCGCCATGCCGGGAGGGAACAGAGGACCCGACCTGGCCACCCTGTAGAGGCTCCTCAGGTAAACTGAGTAGACCTGAGTGGCTGCTGGGATTGCGGGAAGCTGCAGGTGGGCCATGGGAGGAAACTGAAAACGTGAAAAACCGGAATTAGGACTATCCCGTGGCTTGTGAAGTCTACATTTTTTAAAGCTGCAGGAAACAAGACTTTAATATTTCAGGGCCTTCAGCAAAGCAATGTAAAAGTGGACTTCTCAGCATAGCTAATGAAAAATGAGACATGGGGGGTGGTTTGGAAAAGAGTCAAGGTGACTGCATCTGAATTCTTTATAAACATTTAAAAATATTAGTTAGTAAGTAATATTATATTAGTGTTAGGTGTGCCGTATAGTGATTTGACATTTATATACCTTGCAATGTAATCACCACACTAAGTCACCCGTCACTGTGACTACAATGCACTGTTCAGGTTTCCAATGATATGATCTCGAATTCCAAGCTTCTTACCTGTAAAGTGGGAGCCTTGGAATAGAAAAAAACCCCTGTAAGATCCCCTTCTATATCCTACGGCCAAAGTGCAGACAAGCCAGAGACTCCCAAGGAAGTCATTCTAGATCTGAGGGCCACTTAGCTTTCAGGCTATGCTTTATATATATTTTAGGAGAATCTCTCAAAGACATGAATAGATCGTCCTCTTCAGAACACTGGCATGTAAAGCTAAAGTGATTAATTCCTTTGGCGAAGGAGGTAAGTTCTCCTGTATATAGAACCAGAGTGTTTTTTTTTTTTAGATCTCCTAATAGGGGCTATAGTAAGAATGGCAGGCCCAGCTTGGGGCCAGAAAAGCTGTTATTTTCCTTTCCATTTCTCTGTTGACATTCTCACATCTCCTGCTATATTTTCCTTTGCACGCCGCCTAAAGCTCAGCAGGATTTTTAAAGAAAGGGAAGAGTCCTTGTGGTGGGAGTGGGAGGAGGGACCGGATCCAGAGAAAGGGGAAGCGGCACGCGTTATGGCTTTATTTTTCAGAGGAATACAGAGCTGTCGCTCTTCTCCCTTCCGTCCACTTTCTAAGAGCCAGCCTGCCTTGGAGGCTTGGTTAGGCTTATATGCTAACCAGCTGATAGGATAGGAAAAACAAATGATTCTACAGTACTTTGGATCCCTGAAGACTTCAGAAGGGGACGGCCGATTCGGTCCTGAGTCAGGGTCGCTCACTATCGGGAAAAGCCTTCCTGGTATTGCACTGAGCTGCCACCTGCCTTACCCCACAGGAGAGGCAGTGGGGGCGGGGGCGATGCCGGAGAAAGACAGACTGGACGGTCCTGCCTTGCTAGGAAAGCCGGGGTGATACTGGAACATGAGTGAGAAAATTTTAATTTAACTCGCATTTTTAGTTTTAAAAAACAGATGTGCATTACAAGGTTAAACTCTGCATTACCTTTTATTAATATAACAAAATTGCTTGCATTCCTTTTTGCCCAAATTTAGGCTACAAATTGAGGCTTCAGAATAAGTGATAAAAGAACAAGGAAATTAAAACATAGGTTACTTCGATTGGATAATTAGTGAAAGTTAATTATTTAATACACAAACCAGAAGTGGTTAAATTATAACTTGACCGTTAAAAGAAAATACCACTTACATGAATATTAATTTCCACTCTGTCCACTCTGACTCACTACTTTCAATGACCTTAAGATTCACGGTCAGCTTTCCCTGTATCAAACGTTCTACCAGAAACCACCGAGTCTAGCCCTATACACCGAACCCGACAACAAGCGAGGTGAGTTATGTATCTCATCCTGAGCCGGACCCACGGACCGATCAGTGTGGACACCAGGACAGAGCCTGGGTGCCGCCGGAAGAGAGGGTGAGTTCTGGCCCCGCCACGCCCAGGGGTGTGGCCTCGGCCAGCTCCCGAACCTCTCGGTGCCCCCACGAACTCACTCCCCACATGGACAGATGCACCGTGTGGTGTGGCACAGCGCTCCTGTGAGGCTGAAAAGGAGCACAGACAGGGCTGAGCAGTTTGCTTGGGACGCGGGAGCCCTCAGACATGCCAGTTCCCCCTCTCGTTATTCAACAAACAGCTACCGGACACCCACTTGGTGCCAGGCCTTCTCCCAGTCCCTGGAGATGGAACAACGAATAAAACAGACAACAATTCCTCCCCGGCGGAAGGTATATTCTAGCAGAAAATAATATGTGACAACGAAATGATGCTTACACTTACTTACAATTATTGCTAAACCAGCGGGCCTCTCTGCCAGCAAGGGGACACTGAGCAAAGTCTGGAAACCTTTGTGGTTGTCACGATGGGCCTCTAGTAGGTAGAGCCCGGCGCTGACAAATGTCCTACAACACAACAAAACCCACCCGGCCCCCAGTGCCGACAGGGCAGAAGGTGAGAAACCCTCTTCTCAAGGTCATAGACTCACTTAGTTAACCCTTGAAACTACCCTATGAGGTAGAACTGTAAGTATGGCTATTCTGTTATTCTTATAGTAACCAATAGTAACTGCGTTTTATAGAATATAATTAATGGTAATATTTCTATTACACGACAATAAACTATTTAATATTTGTGAAGTTATACAAAATTATAAACACACGCTTTAAAAACACCTTCCTAGTGTAAGGGAGGTGTGTGTTTAAAGACAAATGATGGATTTAAAACATTGATTTAGGGTTCCTTTTACAACCGAAGGCTGTACAGTTATGCCATCTCGATGTTAAATGACCGATCTCTCCTAATCCTCACTCCCATGCTCCAGAAGGCGCTCCTCTGTGCCACGGCTACGATGATGCGGGCATTGGGACAGGGCAGCAGTGCGGTAGACTAGAAACGCCAGAGCAGGAGTCCCCAGATCCACGATCCGGCCGCATCGTCCCACTGGCTATGGCATCTCTGGGCAAGCACTTAACTTCTCTAAGCACGTGAGGGTGACCATCACCAGCACCGGGGGCAATAATGCCTCTCCGATAACCTGTAAAAGTGCTACAGAAACTGCAGTGAGCGCGGCCACCTTCTATCCCACCACTGACATGGATTAGGCGACTGCGTTCTTTTCACCGCACACTGGCTCAGTTAATCCTCACCATCACCCGGGAGGTATGTGCACGTCAATGCCAAAGGAACGTGAGGAAATACAGAAACATGGTGACTTGCCTAAGGCTGCAGAGTCAGGAAGGTGCAAAACAAGAGTGCCCACCAGGCATTTTGGCTCCAGAACCCTCCCTCTTAATCCCTCTTACCCAGTGTGGGCCCCCCTGGCCCAGCTACCACGTGCAGTAACATTTGTAAGTAGTGCTGATTGCCTCGATTCTTTTCTTTCGTAGCATCTGCATTTACTTCATACTTAGAAAGGTCTTCCCTACTTGGAGAGTAGTTTTTTTTCCAAATCCATGTTTTCTTTTAATACTTATGTAGTTATATTTCAAAGTTTAAATCTTTCAAATACCCAGAATTAATTTTGGGGAACAGTAAGAGTTGGATTCAACTTTCTCATTTTGCAGATGGCTTCTCAGTTGTCAGGATTCCTGTTGGAGAAGTCGGCCTTCTCCCCACTGCTCTGGAATGCCCACTTTATTACGTACAAACTCTCTTACTATTCAGACCTACCTCTTGACTCTCTGTGGATCTGACCACCACCAGCACACAAATACACCAGCTATTTTAATGACTGTGGCTGTAGCTCATGTCTTACTATGTGGGAGAGTGAGTTGCCCTCATTATTTTCCTTTTCCAGGATTTTGCTGGCTGTTCTTTAGGAACCGAGAATCACGAATTGGTATTTTTGTTAGGACTGTGTTATATTTACAAATTAATTCAGGAAAAACCGATCTCCTTAGCAGGCTGAATCTTTCCACCCACAGATGTTGTGGACTTTTGTGTTTGGTTCAAGTCTTTTACCTCACCCTCCGTCATGGTGAGCTCCTGTAACATTTTAAAGTTTTCTCATGTAAGGCTTTCTTTATTACATTTACTTTGGGAGGTAGGAATGTGTTCCTGTCTGATTAATGTTATCACATGGATGTCTTATTTATAAACAGGTATGGTAATAAAAACTGGTAGGTACAATACTATATAACAAGTCATTCATTTTGATTTTGGTTACGTGCCCTGTTCTGGAAACTTCTGCACACTCAGGGTTGAAAACTTCACTAGAACCACAGACACGTCAAACTTCTTTTAAATTCCTGTTAAGACATACTTGTCTCCAAAAATGTTTTAGTTTTAAAAGTTTTTGCTCCATGTTAGTTGATCTTAAATTTTGGGGTATAGAGCCCAGAGGTATTATATCACAGACTAACAATTTTTATTCACCTAAAAGTACAAAACTTACCTCCTAAATTCATTCCGGCTTGGAGACATTTTTGAAGTCTGCAGGCAGGACAATTCTTCCGCCGAATCTTGTCAATGATGCAATCATTTCTTCCGGCACATAAATAGTTGTGTTGCCCTGAATGAAAAAAAACAACAACAGAAAACGATTGTTGAAATAAAGCCTATTATACTCATATAAATACTAACATGAATACTGAGAATATAAGGTTTCCTCTTTCCTGCCTTGACATCTCTTTTCAGAGACACAGAAGGGAAACCAGATTCATAGATGATACAGGCTCGGGCACGGTCGGCTTCACGTCGCCGAGACTTCAGATCACAGCCGGGAAGGTTAGCACTACGTTTGTTTTCAGCAGGTCCCCATATGAGGAGAGCTGCACTCCCCCACTGGTTAAACACTCTGATGGCTCCGTGGCGCCTCTCAGGCGATGGTGCAAACTTCGCTCAGACACCTCGACGGCACCCACCTGGTCCACTGTGCCTGCTCACCTCTCATGAACGTGATTTCCATGAGGACACTTTTCAGATCACACAGTTATTATTTAAAATGTTTATCTCATTCTGCAGGTGAAATGGGAAAAAGGTACTCAGATGTGGAAATATGCTTTGAGAGTGGCATCTACTGGCAACACATAAACTTGCGGCCTAGCTCTATTATTCATTTATTTATTAAAAAAAAATCTACAAAACACCCACTAGGTACCAGGCACAGTTAGAAACTCTAGGGATGCAATAATTAGTAAGACAGATAAGTGTCCCTGATCTCATTGATTTTCACTCAGTTGTGGGGAGGGGTAATCGGGGAGGTCATTAGGCACAGTGTACGCATGCCGTAGGGTAGCGCAGTCCGGGGGAGAACGCGCAGGGAGGGGTGTGTGGCACGATGCAGGTGTGGGAGGATGCGGGCAGATGCTGACATTTATTTGAGAAACAGTGCATAGAGGGGAGGCCTCACCAGAAGGTGATTTTCAATGAAGGAGCTGAAGGAAATGAAGGTGCTAACTGTGGATGTCTTGGGAAAAAAACATACCAGGCAGCCAGCTGGAGAAGTTGGTGAGGTAGGTGCAGGGGTCAGGAGGTTACCTGGCGTGTGTCAGGAACAGCCGAGTGGGAAAGCGCAGACAGAATGAGTGGAAAGCAAGGGGAGATGAGGAGAAGGAGCCAAGGTGATTCGGCTCATGTTAGGGCCTCATAGATCGTATTCGACTTCAACTTTTGGCTTAGAGAGCTCTGGGTGGAGAAATGACTTGATGTGATTTGCACTCAACAGGATCCCCCGGCTGCTGTGTTGACCACGGGCTGAGTGGACCAAGGAGAGGGGCAGGGCGAGCAGGGAGGAGGCATTCACTGTGACCTAATGGCGGGGCCCGTGTGGTAGCAGTGACAGCAGGGAGAAGTGGACGGATTCCAGTGCAGTTGAAGCGACAGCTACGAGGGTTTGCTGATGGCCCAGAGAAAAAGGGGAGTTACAGAGGCATTAAGATGCTTGAGCTGAAAAATGTAAAAAAACGGAAACATCATAAATCTAAAAGGAGAAGACAGTGGGAACGTGGGTTTTGTGGGTGACGATCGCAGCTGAGTCTTGGAGATGTCAAGTGTGAGAGGTCTGTGTCTGAGTGGAAGCATGAGACCGGCAGTTAGATACACGGGTCTGGGGGGAGGAGAGGTCAGCACTGGAGACGGAGTCAGCCTGTGGCCGCTACTTTAAGTCATGAGACTGCGTGAGACCACACGGAGAGTGAGCACAGACTGGAAGGAGAAGGGTCTGAGGACTGAGTCACGGGCCGGTGCAAACATGTGGGCAGAGCAGAGAGGGGGCCTCACTGCAGAGCACAGAGGGAGGGTCACTGCAGAGCAGAGAGGGAGGGTCACTGAAGAGCACAGAGGGGGCCTCACTGCAGAGCACAGAGGGGGCCTCACTGCAGAGCACAGAGGGAGGGTCACTGCAGAGCAGAGAGGGAGGGTCACTGCAGAGCACAGAGGGAGGGTCACTGCAGAGCACAGAGAGGGGGTCTCACTGCAGAGCAGAGAGGGGGCCTCACTGCAGAGCACAGAGGGGGTCTCACTGCAGAGCACAGAGGGAGGGTCACTGAAGAGCACAGAGGGGGCCTCACTGCAGAGCACAGAGAGGGGGCCTCACTGCAGAGCACAGAGGGGGTGTCACTGTAGAGCAGAGAGGGGGTCTCACTGCAGAGCACAGAGGGGGTCTCACTGTAGAGCACAGAGGGGGTCTCACTGCAGAGCACAGAGGGGGCCTCACTGCAGAGCAATGAACAGGCTCCAAAGCCTCCCTTCAGCCTGGTGCCAGCACACTTGCTTGGTGGAGCATTGCTAAGTACAGAAAATACTCAGGAAAAATAATGGGCATTGCTTAATGCAATTAAAATAATTTAATCTGGAGCACATTTTCAGTAACATTATGGCAAATCTTAGTAATACTAATAAAAAGCCAGTAATGGATTCAGGAAATCTATCAAAGTGAAGAAATGAGACCCTACCATTACAATAATCTAATGACATTCTAAAATTGAAGGCTCTTAGTGAGTACAGGTAGGTGCAGACAATTACACAGAAGTGACCAATAAGTAAAGACTAAATAACTGTGGGACTGCATTAAGTAATATAATATGTGTGCAGTTGGAGTTCCAGAAGGGAAGAAGAGCATAGGTGAGAAAAAAAAGTATGAAAACTTCCAAATTTGAATAAAACAACTTGCAAATCCAGAAAGCTTAACAAAGGCCCCAATAGGTAAATTAAAAAAAAACAACACAAAAAAAACCCCCCAAAAACACCATGGCAGAAATAGTTAAATTAATAAAAATAAATGTAAAAATATTTAAAAGCAGCCAGAGCAAAATAAATTACATAAAAGGGAATAAGGATAAGGGTAATAACTAATTTTTTTAAAGATTTTATTTATTTATTTTTAGAGAGGGAAGGGAGGGAGAAAGCGAGAGAAACATCAATGTGTGGTTGCTGGGGGTCATGGCCTGCAACCCAGGCATGTCCCCTGACTGGGAATTGAACCTGCGACCTTTGGTTCGCAGCCCGCGCTCAATCCACTGAGCTACGCCAGCCAGGGCAGTAATAACTAATTTTTTAAATCAAAACAATTAAGGCCAGAAGACAACAGATACTATCTTTAAAGACTGTCAACTCAGGATAACCAATTGAAACATTTCTCAAAATGAAGGTGAAATAAACACATTTTTGGATAAATTAAAGCTAAGAAAATTTGTTACAGTATAATCACATTATAAGAAATTAAAAAAGTTCTTTACGCTGAAGGAAAATACCAGATAGAAATTTAGATGCACAGAAAAGAATGGAAATGATAGTAGATGGTAAAAGTCAAAATAAACCTTCTTTTCTTAAATTGTTTAAAAGTCAAATGATTGCTTAAAACAGAAACAAGAAGAATATATTACGAGATTTAAAAAATGTGTACGAGTAAAATACCTGTGAACACAGCAGAAAGAACAGGAAGGAATGCCCATGGGATTCTACTACTGTACGTTTCTCACATTGTATTGAAATGGGACTTGAAATGCTACCCCTGAAACTAATTCAGGGAGGACTGCAAATCAAGAATACCTCCTGTCATCCCTCGAGCCATGCTCTCAAAGGACAGTCCCTGGACAACAGCACCAGCATCGCCTAAGCAGTTTTCAAAAATTTAACTTCACCGGCCCCACTCCGGACCTACTAACTCTGAAGTCTATGTTTTATGTAATCTTTCAGGTGATTCCAAGGTACACTAATGTTTCAGAAATACTGCCAGTAAGCAACCACTAGAATAATAACATTCAGACATGTAGCTTAAGAGACAGTACAGAAATAAAATGGCAGAGTGAAAACACAAACAAACACAAAGACAGAAAAGGAAAAAACAAGGGAACCAAAGGCAAAGAAACACCAAGATAGATATAAACCCAAGTATAGCAATAATTACATTAAATGTAAATGGCCTAAATATTCTGATTAAAAGTCAAAGGTAGTACACTGGATTATTAAAAAAGCAAGGTTCAGGTATGTGTTCAGATGCATTTTTAAATATAAAGGCAAAATAAAATAAAATGCTTAGTAAATAAATATAAAGGCAAGTGCAAGTTGAAGGTTAAAAGATGGACACCTATATACAATGTAAAATATAAGCATGAGAAAGCTGATGTGGCTATATTGAAGCCAGACAAAGTAGACTTCAAGACAAAGAATATCGCCAAATATAACGTATGTCATTTTGTAATGATTAAACTGATAACATGACAATCCTAAATATGAATGCATTTAATAGCAGAACTTCAAAATACATCAAGCAAAAATTAACAAAACTAAAGGTAAAAAGATACATCTAAAATCATAGCTGGACCTTTGCAAACTCCCTTCTAATCAGGATACAGAGGATTTTAACAATATCACACAAACCCCTGGATCTAATGAACACTTAGGTCACACAGCTGCACAACACACGTCCTTTTCCAGGGTGAATGGCATGTTCCCTGAGAGAGACCGCACCCTACACGATAGAGTCAGTCTCAAATTACGCCAGGGTGGAAGTCATGCACAGTGTGCTTTCTGACCACAAAAGCACGAAATCAGAAATCAATAATAAAACAATACCTAGAAAAACCACATATTGAAAATTAAGTGACACACTTCTAAGTAATTTATGGGTTGGAGAAAAAAATCACAAGGAAAGTGATGGAATATTTTAAACGGAATCAAAATAAACACTTAACAAAAATTGTGGGGTAGAGCTAAATCATATTCACAAAAATAATTTTAGCTTTATATACCTATATTAAAAAAGAAGGTTTACAATGGAGGATCTAAGATTCTACCTTAAGAAGGTCAAAAAATAAGAAACTAAACCCAATGCAAACAGAAGGAGTGAAATAGAAATGTATAAATCAATGACAAAGAAAACAGCAGTAGAGAAAAACCAGAAGCCAGAAGTTGGTTCTTTGTAAAGATTAATTAATTGGGAAACAGCGCAGAGGCTGGGAATTCTGTTCCATGCCTCTCGCCCCGGGCCCCAGGCTGAAGCGGCCGCCACCACAGTGCTTCCTGAGTCCCAGGGCAGGGGCCTGCTGAACCCCATCGAAGGAACCCAAG